TAACCGGGAGACCATAGCCACCAGGCGATTGTTCGCGGCTCGCAGACGACGGTGATGACGCGGGCGCCGGCGCCCCCTACCTGTGGGAATTGGTCTCGCGACCACATGGCGACGCGTGTGTAGTGGGTACTGACGCGGAGACTGCCTGTGCGCTCGCCCAGCCCGTAGACGTCGTGTGAGGGAAGCATGGAGCTCAGCTGCAGAAACTGATCAGCGAAGATCAATGTGGGACGCCCGTGTCAAACCTGCCGGGCGGCGGGGCGAAACAATGAAATAACAATAACAATGAATACAATAACAATTAAATACAATAACATTGAACAATAACAATAATTACCTTCGTGTATTAAGGTGTGTGATGTTTTTCATGCGAGGATTGCGTTGTTTGGTTCACGCTCGATGCCCCGATGGTTTACAGGAGAACTCGAACCTGTACGGTGTCCACCCGTTCTACATGGTCATGGAGGAGGATGGAAACAGCTTTGGCGTGTTTCTGCTCAACAGCAACGCTCAGGGTAGGTGCGAGGCGAGCGAGCGGGTGGTCGTTGTCACGACAACCACGGCAGTGCGACCATCTTGTCTTATAGCTGGGATGGATGTGCTTCTATATATCGCATAGCTGTAATAGATGCACTTGTTTATGTTGTGTAACTGGCGTATATATGCCTGTATATGTTGTATGACTGCAATATATATGCTTGTATATAGAATCTATTAATTAGAAGTCTAGTTTTGACTATGTGGGTGCTGCTATTATTGCTTTACCTGGTGGCATGTCTGCAGAAAGGTTTCCTGCACATTGATTGACCTTCAGGCAACCGAAATGACACATTAGTATTTTACCTACCTAACGACGATATTATCTTTAATTACGACTTGTAAATGTTGCGTAGGTTTAAACGTTTGAACGCCTGAAGGGTTGATATGACACATTTTAATAATATATTTGACGAGTAACACCCAGCCATTGTCGTGTGTGGCTAACCTAATTGGAATTTCTGTCTAACAGCTGATTCTGAAATGTCTGCAAAGCACAGAGTGCGACACCTAGCGCCACCTAGTGTTTGTAATGGAGCAGTTGCTCATCAGCTGGTCGCAGGCAACAGCTGAAAGTCATTAGCAATAAATATATGCATGAATTATCGCGTAATAATGAGCAGATAATAGTTACATCTGAAAGTCAGTAGCAATAAATGTGCTTTTGAAATTGCATTTAAATAATTATCGCACGATCGTGAGCAGTCAATAGTTACATAGCAGTGAATGTTATCTTACGACCTTGGTAGAATGCGTGGTAATAACTAACGAGACTAATGAGAGACGATGTTTCGTCAACTCACGGTGTGAACAGAATCGACGAAAACAACTTAAATAACGGCGCGAAATAATCGCTCGAAAACGAACCGCTTGCAGATCCGACGTTAATTAACAATCTAATAATAATAATAATATATTAATAATAATATATTAATTAATATATAATATAATAATTAACGATCTAACAATCATGTAATAATAATAAATTAATANCCCCTTAATAAAAAAGAAGCCTACCTACCAACTTTTCAGCCTGGGTCAGATGAGGGCAAACAAATATTTTTTTAATCGTGGCCTTGGTTGTGTTTCCATGCAGGACACTCAGTGGAATGACATTGATTACATGACAAGGTACCTGGACTTCACGCTCAACACTGCAAACTATTCCGAACTGCCAAAAATCATTGACGACCTTCACGCCCATAACCAACACTATGTGATGATTGTGGTATGTCTAAACAGTAACCAACACTATGTGATGGTTGTGGTATGTCTAAACAGTAACCAACACTATGTGATGATTGTGGTATGTCTAAACAGTAACCAACACTATGTGGTGATTGTAGTATGTCTAAACAGTAACCAACACTATGTGGTGATTGTAGTATGTCTAAACAGTAACCAACACTATGTGATGATTGTGGTATGTCTAAACAGTAACCAACACTATGTGGTGATTGTGGTATGTCTAAACAGTAACCAACACTATGTGGTGATTGTAGGATGTCTAAACAGTAACCAACACTA